GCTGTTTCCTGCTAATGTATGTGTTTTTGGCCGTTGTTCCGCGTTTGTTGTAATACTTTCTGCTGACACTAGGTGGGGCTGTGCCCCTAATGACCAGTCGCCATTGCCACTGTTAAGAAATAGCATCAGGAACTAAAAAAGTGTCAAAAGGATAGATCACTTCTCAGCAGCCGGTGGATAACCTGGCATCCAGACCTCACCTGCTGTCTCAGGCCTTTCATCCAGGGGTGAAAGGTCAAGATCCTTGCAAACACCAGACAGAGCAAACAGAGTGGGCTGGCCGACACTACAGTATAACAAAGTTACTTCATCTTAGATGCTTTGGAAAGAAGGAGTGTGGATTAAGCTGTATGAATAAAAGCACAAGAAATTAAATTAAGATATTATTAATTAATTATTTGGGTGAATGGCCCTTCTAAATTCTAGAGTTTTTTTTAGTTGCTCTGCCTTTTTTGGCAGCAGATTAATGACGTAGATCTACTAATGCCATTAAAAATCTGCATTAACAAGATTAGTGTGTATATGAGTGTGTGTTGGTGAGGTGTAATGCTGCAATTATTATAATCTCAATAAGGCTAGGATTTATCTGACAGAGAATACAATTAGATTTTGTCAGCAGGGATACTGAATATGTAAGATTGTAAATCACATAAAACGAATAGTGTTTACAATAACTGGTATTTTCGACCACGATCAGCATACATGCAGACTTTAGTAGGCAACTCCATAGCTCTAATAAAGATCTGCCAAGGTTTTTTGGCTGTTGAAACAGCAATTAGTTAAACATTTACACCTTTAGGAGTGGCAGCTTCAGCTTCAACAAAGATGGTTCAAGTGTTTTGACAACATGTAAAAACAAATATGTAACTCAGGTTAAGAAAACATTCCTCGACACAGGAATGTTTTTGAAACTGTTATTGATGATGAATTGGTACGACTTTTGAGAGCCAGGTACAAATAAATGATTAAACATGAAAGAAATGGTCAACATGAAAGGAAAACTGGTGGATACTCCCCTCTGACCTGTCCAAACATAACTAGTTTGTCCGTGGATATAAAATACACCAGGAAGTGGATAACATTCATTTGACATCATCAGAGGTCGGACAAGTTTTCAATTCCTTGGCTTTCCATTTGACTCAAAATGAGGCTGTGTGTGTCTTTGGGGATCATCTGTATGATGCTGTCAGGAGGTAAGAGCAGTAAAGATGAGCAGCCATCATAAAATGTAATCTAAAAATCAGTAAGTTGAGGTCATTGTAAAAAATATAAATTCTGCTTTGCCTGCAGTGTGTGGGTTAAAGTGTTTCACCTGCTGGAGTGCAAACCCTGGCTCCTGCACTCATGTTTGGGACTGTGCTGAACATTATGACCGCTGCAGCACCTCCATCGGTATGTTGCATTTACCACAATATTGTGGCTTTGATATGTTATTATTATGTTTTATATTATTGTGTGATTTGAGTAGCCAGAACCTCTGTGAATATTATCACATATGTTATCTTATAAAATGTAATACTTCCCGTTCTTCTCTGTTGCAGTTGCTGAAAATTTGATCACAAAAGAATGCATGAGAAGTGATGTGTGCAATAACGTGGATTCTGTGAGTGTCAGATGCTGTGCTGGGGACCTATGTAACGGAGCGAAACACACTGGAGTCTTTGTCCCTCTCCTTTTAATGCCCATAGCTATCATCACACTCTTCATTTGAAGTCTAATGTCCTCTTTTTTACCTTTCCATACTTTAGAAATCTGAATCTGCTGTGCTGTTTGAAGTGATCAAATGTGAAGGAAACTGCTAATCAAATAAGTTTTAAGGCAGTGGTAATCTTTAAACATTCAGAGACCTTAATGAAGCCGGTGAATGCTAAAATCGGGTGGGACCATTGAGAATAATTAATTTTTCACACTGTACATCTTTAATTATTTTGATGTTTACGTGTATAATTGTGTCTTATTGTATTTATAGTACTTCCAAATATACATAGGCTGTATAAATACATTTTTAATAATTGCATATTTAAATGTCCCACGTTTAAACTTGTCATGTAAAAATAAATATTGATTTATTTTCAAATATCATTGACAATTTGCCAACTTTTGGTAATATTGCCACACCTTTTTACTTCAGACTGAATCTAACAAAGTCGCTTTTCTCCTTTTAATACCATGTATTATCACGTGTGTAGTTGATGAAACCAGACAGTAGAGGGTAGTATAATCAAAGGGTGCCACAAACATGGGAATGGTGAGAATATTATTAATAGGTAAATATATACTGTGACCACCAAGTTCAAACTCCTTTGAGTATCAGTTCTCAAATTAGATTTTTAAAATCAGTTCAGAGAATCTAGATATGAACCAAATGCATGTCATCATAAAACATATATTTAGTTTTACTACGTATTTAAAAATTGGTACAATGTGTTGGAGCACTATCCAATAGAAACGGGAGGCCTGAAACAAAGGACTACAATGGAGACGATTCAGGCGTTGGGGAGGAGAGAAACTCCCTCTGGCGTGGCCTTTGGGATTTACATGCAGAAAAACGTATATAACAAACTACAGAAAAGGGGGAACCCCCCAAAAAGCACAATAGGGCCTCTTTTACAATAAAGGCATTGATGAAGGATTCACCATAAGCATCTCAGCATTCAACATGCAAATGTCAAGTATCCTTCACATACACCAGGGGTGGGGAACCTCCGGCCTCCGGGCCGTATACGGCCCGCGAGACCATTTGGTACGGCCCTCGAGGTAATTTATAAACACACGCAAAAAAGAAAAAAATTCAAGAAATCTAGACCGCAAAATAATTAAACAAGCTTGTTTTTCCTGGCCAAGATCAGGGTCCTTGAACACAACACGAGCCTAACGTGTCATCACGTGGTATATGTCTCGTCTGACAGGAGTGTAGTTCTAACGGAGAGCACCAGAACCCGGCTCCGGGCTGGGACTTCACAAATTGCAATACCCATAAGGAGCTGTACACATGCCGCAGTGTTTGCGTGGCTGTCTCTTTAGTTGAAAGCCCAGTTGCGATCTGTTCATCTGTCATACTAATCATACAGTCAATAACTTAGTTGTTATTAGCATCTGGTTAGCTAGCTATGCTAACGAATATAAGAAGCTGTTTCTCCAACCAGTGAGGTAAAGGCACATCTTTATATGATCATTATAGTTATAAAAAATAAGAGAATAAAGTAAACAGGTATACAATACTAATATGACAGTAAAAAAAAGTTGTTATTAATAAACAAGAATACAGTTTAAAAGGGAAGTGATTTGTAAAATATCCATAAAGAAAAATAAAATTCTGCTTACAGTTCTGTTTCATATGGGTGTTGAGAGATGTATCCATAGATCTAATGTTGCTCTCAAAGTGCACCAGATTGATGCTCTTAACTTCAACATTTAAAAAATAACTTTCTGTTTTGGTGATCATGCCACAACCATGCACGTGAATGCATGCGCGAGTCATGGTCAAATATCTGGATTAAGAGGTTGCTTTTTCTTTGCACAGCATGAAAGAAACGCGAAATGAATGGGCTGTGATTTGAGTTTTTTAAGCAGACGTTGAGTAATTTGTACGGCCCTCGGAGGATGTTGAAAAAATTGAAATGGCCCTTGAGAGNTGCTTGTCCTGACCCACAAAGAATAATAGCCACTGTTACAGCAGCAAGTGAAGAAATAGCATCAATAACTAAAAAAGTGTCAAAAGAAGTGATCTATCCTTTTGACACTTTTTTAGTTATTGATGCTATTTCTTCACTTGCTGCTGTAACAGTGGCTATTATTCTTTGTGGGTCAGGACAAGCAGGGATTCAGCACATAGATATAGAGTTGGAAAGTTTGTGACATTAGTGTGCAATATATA